ACAACAGCTCAACCACCCCAAACTATCCTAGAATTGGTTTAGTTGGAATTTTATTATTATTTTTTTTTTTTTGGTCATAGTTAATTCTACATATTCTATCCATTGATCCAATCTAAATAATATGTGATTTTCATGATTATTGTGCTCAATGTAGATCAATCTAACATGAACAAGCTTAAACAAAATCAAAGTAGCATCCCCTAGTCACAATAATATAAAAACAATTTCAAACATTATCATCGGTCGGTAAGAACTTTTTTTTTTTTTTAAACATTTTGATTCCTTTCCCCCAACCTAAATGAAACATTGTCCTCAATGTAAAGATTCAATGTGCAAAATATATGAAGGACAATAAGGAGCAAAATTTTGAACAAAGGGACGGGTTTTGAGCTTTACCTAGAAAGTCTGCATAAACTTGGCCTAAACAAACCTTCAATTTCATTACTAAAAAAAAACGACAATAAAAGAAACACATCTAAAAAAAAACACACAACATTATAAAATTGAAAACAAACATAACAAAATAAAACAATGAGAAAAGGATATTAATCTTTAGGATCATGTAAAGCAATGGACTCTTCTAATCTAGAGAAATTCTCAAAAAATGGTTTCAAACGATGTCCATTAACTTTAAAAATATTTCCATTACTTGGATTTTCAATTTCTACAGCTCCATGTGGGTAAACAGTTTTGACAATGAAAGGACCAGTCCACTTGGAGCGTAATTTTTCAGGAAATAAATGTAACCTTGAGTTGTACAAAGGAACTTTTTGGGAAGGCTCAAAAGTTTTTCTAACAATGTGTTTATCATAGAATACCTTCATTCTTTCCTTGTAAATTCGAGAGTTCTCATAAGCTTCATTCATGATTTCTTCCAACTCATTCAGTTGAAGTTTTCTAAGTGAACCTGCCTCATCTAAATCGAAATTAAACATTTTAATAGCCCAAAATGCTTCGTGTTCCAATTCAACAGGTAAATGACAAGGCTTTCCAAAAACAACTCGA